GTATCGTAACAGCAATTTCGGCCAAAGTTGGATATTTTCCAGACCTTTATCCCTTATATATATATATATATATAACTTAAATTTATATTAGTGGAACTCATGCCTCCATAAATTTAAATCTTTAACCTATTTTCAGTTTTTTCTCTCTCGCTATTTTTTCTTCAAATTACTCTTGTGAAAAGAACTCTAACCTCAACTATTCAAAATAAAATTAATGAGGAAAGAATATATAAATCCTTATTTTATTCAATGTAGGATAAAATAAAGCATATTATTATTGCTAATGACTTGAATATGTCATATTTCTTCCTTTAGCAGTTAACGATTCATAATCAACGTGATTTTTTTAATTTTATTTTTATGCAAAAGAAAAATAAGAAATTTGATCTTAGTACTCAAATTTCTCTACATGAAATAAACTAAACAGAGTAACAAAATCGATCTATTTCAAAATATAAAAAATCTAAAAAATTTACATGCAAATCTATCGTTTTTAACTTCTAAAAATTTAAACAATTCCCTTCAATAAAGTTGTTAGAGTACAAATTTTGAAATCAAAACCTGTGAGTAAAGAACTTTTAATTTTATTCTCATTGCAAAAAAAATATCTTCATTAAATATAAATAAATCTCTTGCCACATCTAACGGATAATAACTTTTTTTCTTTTTATAATAAGTATTAGCATATTCAAGTTAATAACAACAATTATGTTTCATTTTATCCTTCCCTGAATAAAATTAGGCAAAAGTACTCATTACCCCCCTGAACTTGAAGCTTTTTATACGGTGTACACCTAAACTAAATTCCGTTTTAATTACCCCCCGAACTTGTTTATTCCTCCGTCGCGTACACCTTTTTTGTCCACCTGGCGTAGAAATTGACAACACACTCTACTAGGCGCGTGAGGAAGTGATTTTTTGCCACATCACAAAGCTACAACGGTAAAAAAACGTAAAATCTCCATTTTTCTTTAATATTTGGCATATTTTAAACGAAAAATAAGGAAAAATGTAAATGAAAAGTAAAGGAAACAAAGATTAACACTTGGTAAGAATTTCCGACAAATTTGAAATTCAAGGAGTTCCGCGAAATCAGCCCTTATTCAAAAATAACTTTTAAATAATGAATTTTAATATTTGGCATATTTTAAACGAAGAATAGGGCAAAATGTAAATGAAAAGTAAAGGAAACAAAGATTAACACTTACTTGGTAAGAATTTCAGACAAATTTGAAATTTAATCGACCAACTTCACGTCTAGAAAAACCCAGATCCAAAAGGAGTTCCGTGAAATAAGCCCTTATTCAAATATAACTTTTAAACAATGAATTTTAAATTTAAGAAATTTATTTTTTTGCAATATTAATTTATCTAGGTGGCTATAATTTATCCAGGTGGAAATCCACATCATTAGTTTTACCAGCTATCGCGCGCGTGTAGTCACAATAGGAGCAGGTGGACGAAAAAGGTGTACGCGACGGAGGAATAAACAAGTTCGGGGGGTAATTAAAACGGAATTTAGTTTAGGTGTACACCGTATAAAAAGCTTCAAGTTCAGGGGGGGTAATGAGTACTTTTGCCATAAATTAAGATTTGTATTTACTTTTCTCGTAAATTTTATTTTGAACCATTGACGTTTAAGAATATTTTTATAAGAGTAATTTGAGAAAAAGTAGCGGGGAGAGAGAAACAATTGAAAAAATGGGTTAAAATTTTTAATTTCATCGAGGCATGGAATCCATTAATATAACCCTAATGTTTGGTTGGAAACAAGTTATCCAGGATTAGTTATTATGGGGTTAGCTATACTGGGATAACTTATCGCACCATGTATATGGGAAAACTTATCCCATCACTATGATATAAATGGTGGGATAAGTTATCCCAAACATGACAACCAAACAAGATACAAAAATTTTATCCCATCACTGTTTATTTTTATCCCTCACACCAAATGATATTTGTATAAAAAATCGTCAGAGATCAAACCTGGTAAGTTTTTGAATACTTAAAGGATTAAAATCGGCAAGTGCATAGTTAAGAGATCAAACTTGATAAGATTTGAAATAGTTAAAGGACTAAATTCGATAAGTATATATATTTTTTTGGTAATAACTGTGAACTACTACCATTACTCCAACATGAAAACTTCAACTTTACAACTTAAAGAGCATCTCTAGTCCAACCACCTCTAAGAAGAGGTTTAGGACTATCCAGGTCTCAAACAAAATTGTTCCAGGAAAAAAAACCATAAGCTATTATCAAATACAAACAAGTTTAATCATTGATCTAAACTATTTACTCTCTAGTTAGTCTTCTCAGGAGATTCTGACACCTCGCGACTCCTCTTATGTCCTGGAGAGTGACTATTCGAGTTCTCACTTCTTTCTGTATTTGTACAATTGCACAACTTGTACTCACATCTATGCTTCAAAAAATCTTCTAATTCCTAGCTTTCCATGTGTGATAGATCATTGCCCCTCATATTGCCACCCAAACTTTCTTTTGTATTTGCTTTCATTTCCTTCGTTTCAGCCATTTCAGACTTTGTGGGACATCCTTCTGAATCATTTGACCTCTGTCCAATTTGCCAGACCATGTCGAACTGCAGTAATGCATTCACACTCGGAGAATAAATGTTGAGGAGTTTCTACCACGCCTGTCAAACAGAGACAACACTTTGCATCCTCTACATGAATGGTCAATCTCATAATTCTAGACTTGGTGAGCAGTCTGTTCTGATTTGCTAACCATACAATAAATCTAAGTTTTGGCTGCATAATTTTTGTCCATATAAGATTTGCTTCCCAATGCATGGTTTGAGCCCCTATCAGTACATTATAGCTCCTTGTGACTGAATAAGTGCCACATTTTGCCAACTTGTATTTGTCATTTTGATACCAATCTGCTATCTTAGTTTTCAGAGAGGTCAACTTTGCACTATTTTAGACCCATTCCAATTATTTAGGGACCATTTATGACGTTTTCTCATCACTTTATTAATATGCTCACACTTAACTTTGATTCAATGCTATCTTTAGTAGTTCTAAAATTTTAAACAATGGCCAAATTTTTATTTTTATAAGTCCAAATTGTCTAACTAAAAGTTTGAAATATATATTTTATACAAAAGCCTAATGTTTAAATACTAAACAAAATATTTTAAGCAATGCATTCAGGGGTGACATAACATCACATGTAGCACCTTAATGACTTCACAAAAATACTAATAAAACTAGTCTTTCTCATGTATTTTCTTATAGTCATTTTTTCATAAATATAATTATTTTTATCATTTTGTTTATTATTACATAGGAAAAAAATGATTTGGTATCCTTGATCTTTATTTGTCTTTTAAAAAATGTTTTTTCATAAGTTAATTGAATTAAACTTTTATTAAAGAAAATCAACATATTTGAATAGTACTATGGGATGAAAAATGCATGTTATGTGAGGCACTGGCCAAAACAATGGAACATATTTATTTTGAGTATATTTTCTCCGAGGCCTAAAGGAGATATTACTATGGGTGCAAATCAACATGACAAAATATGGTTAATAATGGCTAAAAGGGCGAGGCTAAACATAAGACTATTTATAACCAGAAGATGGCCAAACCACAAAGTATATAAAATAGGTTGTACTAGACATTCAACAAAAATTGAAGGAACATGTATATATAGCCTGTAGGAAATCCAAGTGGAGATAGAAAACATGATAATGAGAAGAGAAATACATATTTAAGGGATAATTGATAATTAGAAAGGGCACATAGATAGTTTGTTGGTTGGTAGTGATATTACGTATTATAATCACTATGTGTCTGAGGTATTATCAATAAGAAAGTCTTATGTTCGACTTAAATAACAGATAATCAATATAGATAATATAAAAGTCATTCCAGACATTTGCATATAATTTCATAAATATTCAAAAAAAATCCTACGATGGAACTGATATCGTGTCTCCCGAAATCTAAACGCTCCTTCGATATTATCATTTCTAGAACTAGTGTTGTGCCTCCCAAATCTAAATACATCTTCGGTCTTGTTTTTTTCTAATTTTTAATGACAGGTAATAAGATTTTCACAAAACCTAAATGTATAGATATAAAATCTAACAAGTTAAAAGGTGTTTTCATACATTTCCTCAATTTTTATTTATTAGAAACAAAATTTATTTACCTTAACGTGATGACTTTGAGGAATGAAAAGCTTTCAACCTTTATTGTTGACTTTTTGTTTCTTTTTACGTATAACATATGGGTTAGTACATAAGGAGACTCTTTCAAACTTTTTTTTCTCCTAATTTTAGGGTCAAAAGTGTATAGTTTTCTACAACAACATTTTGAAAAACTCCAAAATTTCCTTCACAAAATATCGAAATCTCTTTTAACTTTTCATGTTTGATTCTTCGACATAAAATTGAAACATTCATCAAGCTCCTATTCTTAGACCTTAACAACAACAACAACATCTTATAACGCTATATTGTTTGTTCGTAAAATCCTTCTGGTTGATATTATCGTTATCTCTATTTTTGTTTTGGTATTGTTTGTCGTCAAATGACAATCAAAAGAAATTACTAAACCTTTTGATCAATATAAATATTAACTTGATAAATTATGATACATGGACAATTGGACATAAAGTGAGGCAACGACTACATTATGAAGAATCACTTGATGCAATAACTTTATTTAAAAGATAAAAGAACAAATCTTAATCGTATATATTGCCAATGTAATTAAACAAAATCTTATATATCCTTATTACCATTAGTCCATTACCACTATTTTTATTTTCTCCCCTCTCTCAATTAAAAAAAAAAAACTAATAAGGAAAATAAAATAATATTAAATAACAAAAGAATACACGATCGAATAACAACGATAAACTAACATGTAATATAAGTATATGAAGGAAATTGGGAGAGTCAATTACTAACATAAAACCAGATTAACATTATTATCAAAGTATTAAATATAGCTCCAATAAGCTATATAAAATATCAATTTTATTACATATAAGAAAAACAGAGACATAAATATTTATATCCAAGCTATATATGTCATCGTAACGAATTAATAAAATCAATAAGCAAATACATTTTGTCTTTCTCCCCTCATTAGAGTATGTTCCAAAATTAAAAATAAATTATAGTTAAATGTGAGGTATATTTAAATTCAACACAGGGGCATATCAGGAGGGGGAGGAAGCAATTTCTCTTGAGAGCCTTTTCCATCTTTCACAATGAATGCCATTTCCATTCCCCAACTTACGTGACGTTCTAAATGACAATGCATAAACCATACTCCTGTCACATAAAAAAAAAATGCATAGTATTAGATAAAGAGTTCGAATTATATACATTGATGACATAATTTAATTTAATACAATAAGTATTATATAATTATTTTACTTGATCATATTGTAATAAGCTATTTACCATGTTTTGAGGGTTTACAAGAGTACATGTTTGATATATTTATATCTAATATAAAATAAAGTTGAGTTTAACGTCTAAAAATAACAAGGTATCTATAGAAAAAATTGTGATTAGTTGTAAAACAAATTTTACATTGACAAAATGTCTTTGTTTTGACTAGATCAACATGCTAGAGCACAGCACGTGCCAATAAAATTTGCACCTGCTTACTAAAATTTGCTCATGAAAATATGATGATTCGCGCAATTTATATAAGTTTAATGCACCTATTATTAACTCAGTCTACTCTTTTAATATTAACTAGTCAAATCTCGTCCAGCACACCTACTTGACACCTCTAAAGTATAGTAGTAACAATAAATAACAATGTATACAAATAATATGATCAATTAAAAAAAATACCTGGATTATCAGCTTTGAACCTGATGGCAGCCCATCCATTTCTAACAACAGCAATAGTATTCTGAAGAGGTGGATCAACAAGATTATAGTTCAAAGGGTCTTTATCTTTGTCAAAATTTCCAAATCCAGCTCCAACAACATAAAAACTATATCCATGTAAATGAATTGGATGATCAACTCCACCCAATAAACTAGTTCCTTGCAATACAATCTCTACATTTGTTCCATATTCAAGAACATGAACCTCCGTTCTACGATCGGGACGTTGTAATTCCACGGGAAGAGAACCACCCGTAAAATTAAAATTTAAAGGCGGAAAACTAGGAAATTCATCTCCATAAACCCCTTGAATATTTTTATAATAAGCTTCTAATATGTCGATACGAGGCAACACAAAGCTTATATTATTCACACTTGCCGCGAATCGATCCCCGTTAGGTCCACTACACGATTCATCCTCGCAAGGTAAGGTATTTACGGAAAATGTGAATAATAAATTGGTAGTAATGTTTAATGGTACGTTAATAGGGTGTGTTTTATCGGCTAGGCTTTTTAATGACCTAGTGAAATTAAACGATGCGTTTGTATCGTCAAAATTCGGGAGATCGGGGAAGATGGGTGGTGATGAAGCGGTGTAATTTCCGCGATACTGAATGATAGCGGTGGTGGTTGTGTTGTCAAATGGAACTCCAACTACGCTATTATATGCCTTTGCACCCATATAATAGTGGTTAGGGTTTTGATTTGCTTCGAGTAAAACATCAATAGTTTCACCTGGGGAAATTGTGATGTAATTTGACTTGAATGGTTTAACATACGCACCATCGGTTCCTACGACGGTGAGTTGGTGATTTGCGACGGAGAAAAACATGAGATTATTCATTACGGCGTTTACAATTCTGAGCATATATGTCTTGTCTTTCTCCACCGTTAGTTTGAATGTGTCTGTTGAAAAAAAGAAAAAAATTGGTTATGTTCATAAATGATTTTTCAACATAATTTGCATCATCAAAACTATATATTACGTGGTACAAAGGGAAATAAAAACAAACATATATAATCCATTGACTAGTTTGACTTTTACAATGAAGTACATATACTTGAATATTATCATGACTTTTCTCATTTCTCCTTTTGAATTATGCTAACGCGGTTAAGCTTTGAAAAGTAACACTCCGTCCTCTGTCTCAATATATGACAAAATTTAAAATTGATATGAAATTTAAGAAAGAAAAAAAAATTGAAATTTCTGACGTAAGTAAGATATTGTTTATGTGGTTATAAATTATTTTAGAGGCAAATCTAGCCTTCTAGTTACAGATTCACGTGAATTCAGTAGCTTCTGCTCAAACTTCATATTTTTATAAAGTAATTCACTAAATGTAATAGTCAAAATTGACTTTCAAAAAGTGCAATATGACAATTAAAAGTGGCCGGATAGAATATGACATATAGATTAGTACAAAAGTTAGTGTAATTAGCATTAATTAATACTATTTGTTTTTACCATTTGTTGAGCAAGGATATAAATCTCCTGGTTGACCATTTATAAGAAAAGCATCAGATTTATTTGCATCTCCTCCACTTGCTAGAAACTCATTTACAACTGTTTGTACATCACTTTTCCACCACTCCCCTGCAATTTAATAATAATTTTAAAATTCTGTACCAGTCAAACAAATTAAAACGAAAGGATTATAGTAATACGTACCTAATATTATTGGAATTTCAGCAGCAGGTCTAGGAAAAGGATAATTAGTTTTATTTGCAGGACGTATAATAAGTGCACCATTAACTGTAGCTCTTGACCAATCACTATGAGCATGCCACCATAAAGTTCCTTCCTCATCTGAAAGGTTAATCCTTTGACTAAAATTTGTTCCTGGTCGAATTGGACATTGAGTAATAAATTCAGGACCATCTGACCATGGATATCGCGGTTGTTTCACTCCATGCCTGAAATTTGTCATTTTAATTTTTAGTATACTCGATCGTATAGTATTATAAAAGTGTCATGAGATGGTTACACAGTTCAATATTTACCAGTGGATTGTTATATTTTGGGTTCCATCATTTTGGACATTAACAACGAGGGTATCTCCCGTATTGGCATATATGACTGGACCTGGAAATTGGCCATTCACAGTCAAAATATTCTTTGAGCTGCAAAGCTTTGAGTATGGTGCTTCTTTAATCTGCATGAATTAAAATATATTTGGCATGACAAATTATAAATGTTAATTTATTCTTAACCAAACTATATGTTATATTAAATTATTTTTTAAAGAAGGTACAGAGACTACTTACGATAAATCGATGACGATGAACAAACGCATGGGCAGGTAAAAGACCAAGTAAAAAAAGAAATACTATAATTTGTTGAATGAAAATCTTCACTTTCAATCTCATGATTTTTCTTTTTGTGCAAACAAATACTACTAATAATATGATATGAAAATGTGTAAAGGATGTTAATGTATTTATAGAGACCATGAAGTTATCAAAAGAGAAAGATGACAATATTGTCGTAGCAAACTTCAAAATAACTATCATTACCATTAATTAGCGTACAAAAATAGTTAAGCTGTTTCTCATAATATGTCTGGTTTTTTACTTTTCAAAGATTTTGAATATATCTTTTCTGCTGTAAAGTCAACCCCACTCCCGTATTCACATAATAAAGTCAACCCCACTCCGTCTGTCTCTAATTACTTTGTCCATTTTGATAAATTAAGAAAAAACAAAAAAAAAATTATCTATTATATCCTCAATTAATTACTTTAAAAAATGTAAAACTTCTTGAAAATATTAAGTTTTTAATTCATTCACTTCATAATTAATATGGATAAAATGGTAATTCACTATGTCAATTATTGATTTATTAATAAGTGTGTCAATTCAAAAGTGGACAAATAATTAGGGACAGAGGGAAGTATATATTACTCGCATTAAATTAGATGGTCAATGGTTTAAGCCCATAATTATAGTTCCACCTATAATTTAAATATCCTTTTAAGTTACCTTATAGGCTGAGAAAATATTTTAAATTAAGAATGTATATAATTTAAACTCAGATTATTGTTTTTGGATTGTTACAGAAGTTACACTCAAATTATTATATTTGATTAAGTTAAACTATAAATCCTTCCTTTATATGAGCAATTTCGAGAATGGTAATCTTCTATCAAAGTTAATTACTTAGCTATCTTTTAGGATTAAGAAAATGATCACTTAATTTTCTTTATAATGATCTGAGTATCACAAAAGTCACTAAATAATTATATTACCTATATATCTTCCTCGTGGAATATTTGTATACGTACAGTTTACAATTTTTGAAAATATCATTAGCTACCCATTGTTTAGATCTGAAATTGAAAAAGAAAAAAAAGTATTTCTTTGTACAGTTTTGAAAATTCAATAGTCTCATCATAAATCATAATACGCGTACATTAAAAGGTTGAAATTCTATTCTTCCTAATGTTTCATTAGTCAAACATTTTTTTTTAAATCAGAGGGTTAATTTATACTAAAACTAATCTATTAAATCGCTAAAAGTCGATTTCTAGAATTAGGTAAATTTCAATTGTGAAATCTTTATGTAGTTCTTTTAATATAATTTTCATCTGGTCTGACTTTTCTCTTGAAATTAAAATTAATAAGTAAAATATTTGTGGCTGCTTAATTAATTTACTCGTCTTCTTTTTACACCTAATTTTGACTGGAAAATATTGCATGCCAAGAAGATATATATCCTTAGAAGAAGAAGAAAAAAAAAACTAATACTTGCCTTTTAATTACTTTGCTTGAGGAAATAGTAAACAATATAATGATAATTAACCTAACAACAAATATGTTGTCAGTTGATCTTTTCCCTTTGATCACAAATGTACAAAGAAAAGAAAATATGAGTAACTACAGCTCCATAACAAAGACGATTTCTGAGACTTCGGTTAAGGATGAAAAAATACTTACCACTTTATCACAATCCTTGTTGATTTAATTAGTTATTCAATTTTATGTTGAAGAGTCAAAAAAGTTCTACATGAATTGTTAATAAAATGATTGGTCTCTTTATATAGTCTTGAACGATTCTCCCCTTATAATCTAACTTTGAATTCAAGATTTATTTCTTTACAAAGTAAGACTATCTTATCTAATGTTGGAACCCCGAATAAAATTGTCATGCTTCAGTTTTTTAGCCTTAGACATTAAATAGCATCATATTGAAGAATTAAAAAATAAGATCGATGTTACATAAATTTTTATGTGACCCATGAAAGTAATAACAACGTGGATAAATTTAAGAAAATCTCTCACATTTTTTGGTTAATATTATTGGTTCAAGAATATATGCCACGTAAGAGTTACATAATTGTCGAATAGGGAAAAGTCGATGAAAATTGTCGATTGGGTAGTAGTAGTACCGTGTAAGGGAAGAATATTAAATAATATCACAGTCAATATTATATATTTTGTTTGAAGAAAAACAGAACACAACTTTCTTATTTTGGAGCTTTAGAAAAGTCAGACAATTAAGGTTCTAATCCTCTATTTCCTTTATAAGAAAAAAAAATACCTCTAATAACATTGAGACAAAAATATTCACGAATTATTGACTTGTTGTGATTGAATGAATATATCTCTTCATTCTTAATCAAAGGTTTTGAATGTAAGCAAAAAAAAAAGAAAAAAAGGTAGCAATTCTTCATTTAATAGGCTTTATCTGATATAAATTTAAATTAATCGACACATCAAAGTAAATATTAAACACGAAAATTTAAAAATTTCCCATAGCATCTAATGTCCATGTTTTTTTCTCTGAATGAGTTGGTGTTCATAACATTTCTTTTAATTATAGTAAGTATATATAGTATATTATTGCATATCTAATGTTTGGCATATATAACGTTTAGGATCATCATTTTTTCCTAACATTAATGATTTGTTCTTTTTTTCCCTATAATTTTTCCTTAAATAATATTGTCTGACAACACGGAAAGAAAATTAGGAACAATATTTTGATATCTGCAGTAGTTGTGATTTGTGAACACTATTTTCCCCTCATTACAAAACATATTCAAAGTATCCTTCCCTCTCTAATTAATTATTATGTGTTATTTTCAAGAGTTAAATTATTTAAACTCTAATTAATATTTTAAGATATATTTATTCATCAAATTAATTAGTATAAGTAAAATTGCAATTTATAATATTTTTCGTACAGTTTTTAAATATCTAAATTTAATACTAAAATGTTGAGTAGATATAATATAATTTTACTTAAGAATAGTCAAATTAACAGAAACATGTCAATTATTTTGAAATGGATCAATATATTACCACAAAATATTATTTGGAAAAACTACACAATTAGACAAACATATTCCTACCATATTTACTAATTCTTCTAATAGTTTGAAATAATTACATATTATGTATCTTACTAATAAATAGTTTCATACCATATTTCAAGTCAGATACACCTAGATACATGTATTGTTGCTATCAAATTCACTAACATACGGAAAGAGAGAGAGATGGGCGAGATAGGATGGAGGCGAGCAAGATCCCCAAATACATGGGATATCATATGCATGGAGAGAGTCAGATACATGCGAATCCACTTGAATACAGTGTATCTAGAACAAAAAACTTAAATTTGACCCCATGTATTCGTGATACATGTATACAAACAAACTAGCACAAATTTAATTAATTAGTTCTTAAACTAGTAAAATTTATGTAAGTTACTCTTATTTTTCGACTATTCCCTAGTCGGACTCATTGGGCTTGTTTCGGCCAGTCGGCCCAGAAATCCTTAGGTTTGGACTAATAAATGGGCTCAGCTACATGTTTCAGGTTCTCCTCGCGACCAGTTTGTCCCTAAATTCCCCTTAGCTTTGTAAATGTAAAATTTATGTAAAAAGTTAGGTTGAAAATAATTATATTCGCTAACTATATAGGCAAAAAAAAAGTATATATTTATCGTACATGAGATTCAACAATTATTTTGGTTTGTGCTTTAATTAGATCCAATTCGGATAGGTTTCCACACGTGCTTTTAGAGAAAAGTTACTTTTTTTTGTTTCAAAAAAATAATTTATTCCTCCTATTATTTAAAAGTACTTTTTTCTGTTTTTTCTAAAAGCTTCCTCAGATATTTTAACTTTCTAAAACAAGTATATACCTTAAGGAAGAAAAAAAACTTAATCAAATACTCAACTTTCTTTCTTTTTTTTTAAGAAAAAGAAATTTTACCACTAAATAAAGTTTCTAGCAATCTTTTATTAAAAATAAAAAGAGATCAATATGATAAGTACAAGTAAGGGGGCTAGGCCTTACCTATTTTAGGGTTTTGCCCTGATTTTCTTACCATAATTTAAGATTTATTTTTTCTTAAAGAAAAGACAAAACATTACCATAAATGTTTTTACTTTTCCTGAAAGGAAAATATAATATTCCTTTATATTTGGTTTATTCTTTCCTTTTAGGAAAAAGTTTTGGAGTAGCTAGTTCTTTTCTAGTAGGAAAGGTTTTAGGACTCTATAAATATAGGTTTGTTTCTTCTAACACAATAACAATAACATCCACAATGTAGTCGTTTAGAGAGTTTTGTTTATGGGGAGATTTATTTTCTCAACAGTTATAATATTTTTCTTTTAAATTAGTTTTCATATTAATAATATTATGTTTTAGTATCGCTTTATTTGTCATCTGATTTATCACCATCTTGATTGCAATTGTAAGCTTCCGCATGACGCCATAATCACCCTTTCATAACCCAACAACCTTACCAATCCTAATGTACCTAATTTCTTCTAACTAATAGGCATGAAGAAAATAAGAGTTAGAGAACTAAGTATTTTGTGATCACCAGGAAGTTTGTAATACACTCCATGGTGATATTACAAAAGAGGATGCTTAAATGATGCAAACATACAACAATCAAGAAGAAGGTTGAGTTATCAGCTTCAAACTTTCTATTACGAAAGCATGAATTAAAAAATATTGATTGTCCATCAAAAGTAACTTAAATTATTTTTCTCGTGTCTTCTTCTTCAAACCTATCCAACAACTCTTGGTAATTCAGACCTTCTTTATGGATTTATCAGATCTTCTTGAACCTATTGATATTGTCATATGGTTCTGCTTTGCTTGTCGCATCCGTATGTGCCTTGGAACAAAATCCTCAATTAGTTTACCCTCTCAACTATGTTGCCTTTCGTACGTCTTTTTTTTTGCTTTTGTTGCTTCCACTTCTTTGTTGCCTAGGTGATCTGTCCCTTTCCCTAGCCACTCTATCAAAGTATATGTCCAACATATTGTCTTCCTCATCTCCATCAAGAGAATCCTCGCTCAAATCAATTGTATTTGATGTTAAGTCTCTTGACTCATTCTTCTCTGCAATCACACATTTAGGCACAAATGC